ATTTCTCCTTTCATCTCTATTTTGTATTTGCCTTCATTGTTTTGAGTGGTTTCACCCATTTTTTGTGGGGTTAGATGTAACCAACGAATTCTAGTGTAATCCTTACATTTTCAATGATATATGTATATTTTGTTCATTCATTGTTGTGTTGTTTCTATTCTTAATGCTTGCTTTGGATTGATTCTCCTTTGCATGATATGGGTTCCATTGGGTGTTGGAAAATAACCATTGAAACTAGCTCTGAAACAAATGCCTAGTGGGAGATGTATCTAGGAATGGAGCTTAGCCCATTAGTAGTTTTAAACCCTAGCCCGTAATGCGGGTGTAGATATTGGGTACTCAAGGGATTGATATTCAATGTCCGCACCTAGGCTCTTGCTCTAAGGGATTAGGTTTGAGTAAACTTATAAGTTGACTAAGCAATGCATGTAACAAGTGATTAAGGAAGATCAGATGCCCCCCATTTTCGTGGAAGATCAGATGCCCCCCATTTTCGTGGAAGAAAAGATTGGCCAACCCAAAACGTATTCGCAGCTTATGATTTCGACATGAAATTCACATATGTTCTAGGAGGGTGGGAAGGAACAACATCTGATTCAAGAATATTAAAGGATGTCCTAGGTAGAGAGGATCCACTTATCATACCACAAGGTTAGTTATTATTTACTTCGTAATTAGTGTATAGTAACGTACTTACGATATTATAATGAGTATAACTTCAATGACTTTAATTAGGTAAATACTACTTGGGGGATGCTGGATTTATGTTAAAAGGACAAATAATTACGTCGTATCGAGGGGTTCGATATCACCTTAAAGAGTATTCTCGAAGAGCTCCACAAAACCCAAGAGAATTGTTTAACCATCGACATTCGTCACTTAGAAATGTCATTGAAAGAACATTTGGCGTCTTGAAGAAAAGATTTCCTATAATAGCTAGTGGAACCGAACCTCATTATTCATTCGATACAATGACGAATATTGTACTAGCATGTTGCATTTTACACAATTTTCTTCGAGGCGTAGACAATGATGAATCGTTGTTAGCAGAGATCGATCGAGAGTTGATGGAACAACCTATGGATACCATGCCGACTCAAGCTCGTGAGGATGATCATAGGGAATGGTCAACTATACGGGATGCTATAGCATATGAAATGTGGACAAATTATATTAATAATTAGATCATGTATTTAATAATGTATTTAATAAGATGTACTGTTGTAATTGTAATAAATTATTATGTTACAAGTTTTCATTCATAAATTTTACATATGATTATCATCATTACGTGTCTTGTTTTTGCAATAGGTGGAAAATGAACGGAGGAAAAACTGTTGTACCTGATTCCTCGACTACGGTTCGCGAGTTCACCAAATGGACTGATGACATGGACTTTCGTTTATTGACTGCCATGCTTGACGAGGCTAGGTTGGGCAATCGGGTTGATGGTAGTTGGACAACCAAAGCATACAATAATATTGTTGAAGCCCTCCGACATACTGGATTAACGGGTATCACGAAAAATAATGTTAAAAATAGACAAAAAAGTCTGAAAGATAGATGGCGGGAGGTTCACGACTTGTTTAGTGGACTTAGTGGGTTTGCGTGGGATGAGTCCACGAAACGGTTTACAGTTGAGCCTGAAGTATGGGATGACTTGCTGCAGGTAATGTTTTAACATTCGGGATTTATTGAATTAGTGAAACATAGTAATTATGGGTGATAATCATGGTTTTTATTTGCAGGCGAAGCCAGCTGCAACTAAATGGAGAGTGTCTTCCATTAGGTACTACGACTTGATGGAAGAATTATGGGGAGTTGATCGGGCAACAGGCCATATGGCTAGGACTGCGCGACAAGTTCGTAGAAATATCGGTATGCCAAGTGTAACGGTCGACTTGAACGATGATGTGGATGACATACCACAGGACGACCCTTTTCAGGCAGGGTTTGATACAACATACCGGTCGCCACCACACTATGGTTCCTGTAGTCCTGTTGATGGTACTCAGTCAGTGCCATCTGCTGCATCTGGTGGTACTACTGGAACATCGTCATCTCGAGGCACAAAAAGAAAAGCCCCAATGATTGATGTGATGGATGCACAATTTGACAGGCTAACTACGAGGCTCGATGCATTTACAGATTACCTTGGTCAAGGTAATGCGTTGACCCAAAGATTATCTGATATTGTTGAACGACAAGTGGTCGCCATTGAACGAAGAAACGAAATAATTAATGAGCAAGTTAATATCTTGAGGCGAACATCAACAGTTCAATATTCAGAATCAAATATTTGGGACATGTTAGTCGCTATGAACCTGCAAGACGAGCAAGTTATGGTTCAGTGTTATGATTTTTTGTGTAATAATCCATCACATGTTAGGCGACTTTTTGGCTTACCCCCACATCTCCGCCTCAACCAATTGTTAAAGTTCATGGGTCAAAGTGGTTGATTTGTGATTCGTAGTTATTGTATTTTTTTATGCATTGTATGTAATGTTTTACTAATGGTTTAAACATTGTAAACTTGACCATAATGTTATAAAAGTATTTATTAATGGTCAAAGATACATTTTAATGTTATTACTTGCAATTATGTTTTATGGAATATGTCTTATGTTTAACATCATATTTGTTATTGGTTATTTTATATATAATTTTCAGGTATGGCATCCGGTTCAAGAAAAAGAAGTTCAAAAGAAAGAAAAGGAAAAACTCCTGCCACCTCGGACAAAGCAGTTGGTCCTAGATTACCACAAATTGAAGAAGTTCTAAATCAGACATGTTTTTTCAGCCAGCGTGATCAGATGATTAAATATGACAAGGAGTTTTACCACAGGATAGTCCTTCATCCAAAGGTTATGGACTTTAGCTACTTTGCCACATCAGGGCTATATTTTCACCACCATATAGAATATCAAGGTTTGCAGCATTTTGTGGCTCTCAAATGTGATTTCTTTGAAAATCTTATTAAGGTCTTCTATTCCAACTTGAGAGTATCTAAAGCTAGTTTCCTCTATAGTGACGTGAACAAAACAAAGATAAAAATAAAATCATCTGATTGGTTAACTCTGGCTGGTTTGACGTATCAGGGGCATAAATTAGCATTTTCAAACATCCCAGAGGAGATGCAGTTCGACCGTCACATAGCAGTGACATCTATGATTAGACCAGAGCTGCAGAGCCGAAATGTTAGAAATGTAGGAAGTCATAACATTAACGACAAACTCCTACATTATGTCTACGTCCATATATTGGCACCCAGATCAAGTAACTTTCCCAACTCTTACAGGAAGACATTTTTCTGTTATGGGCCTTAAAGAATAACATTTTGATCAACTGGCCCCATTATATCATGCAACACATGGTCAAATGCAAGGACAATGAGATGTCTCTTTCATACCCCATTTTAAGTTCACACATTTTGGTTGTTTATGGCATAGACTTATCAATTGATGTTGCAGTCAAATTAGGGTGGGCACATTTTTTAATAAAAATACCTTGAAAAAATTAAATGTCGTGAATGTCAACGGGGTATGGATACATGGCAGAGATAGTCATCATCATGGCCAAAATGTTAAAGATGAAGACCATGCAATGCCTGAGGACCATGGTGAGGAGCAGCCTGCCGACATCACACAACAACCTCCGGTCCAGTATGATGGTCAAATACTTTCCCAAATATGGACTGGCATTCAAGGGTTACAAGAAAGATTAAATAATTTGACTATCAATGTTAATCAAATACATAACAGGCTTGATAACCTCGAACAAAAATTTGATGACTTTCAGAGTTCATTTCAATAAACTACATTATCTTATTTTTTATTATTATTATAATTTAAATATGTTTTATTTAGTTGCAACATTTTTCTTTTCTATTATTTTATGTCATATTTAATTATTGTTTACTTAATTGATGACTGAATTGTATTTTCTGTTCCATTTTACAAATATGTTATTACCCATCTACTTTGTAATGTTATAAATTTTTTAATTTTTTAATTGGTAAAAATTAACTTGTACAATTAACAAATGTATCTTCATTTCATTGTAATTTATGTTAATGATTTATCAATTTTTTTAATTTATTAATTAACTTTCAAAAAATTTATTGTACATTTTTTTTATATTAACAAATTTCTATTATTTAAATATTAACATCAAAAAGTGGAAATATAAAAAAAATAAAGTAATACATGTTTATAAAATTAAAATAATAACACTTTCATAAACATTAATAAAATAATGTTACAAAATATAATTATCATAATATATTTTGTTATTATTATTTATTATTATAAATATTATTATTTTCATTTTTATTAATATTAATATTATTATTTATTATAATTAGTATCATTATTATTTATTATGATTTTTATTATTTTTCTAATATTTATTATTATTCTTATCATTATTTATTATTTTTTTAATAAAGTATACCTATTAATATAATTTTATTGTAATTAATAAATATTATACTCATTTTTAATCCAAGGGTAAAAGTGTAAATTATATATTCATCTATTAAATTTTTATTTTTTATCTATCATTAAATTTAAAGCAAATATTTAAATTAATTTATTTTTAAATTAATATTTTATAATTTTTTTAGTTAAAATTTATATATTTATCTTTTAATTATAATAATTATAAACTTTTTTTTAACCTAAGGGCAAAATAGTAATCCTTCACAATTATTAATTAAAAAATTTATTTTTATTTATCATATTAATCAATTCACTCACAAATTTTCACAAACTTTTTCTACACTTTTCACTCACTTTCCCTTAATTCAAACAACCTCACTTTCCACTCAATTTTCTTTCAAATCTCTCTTTTTCCACTCCCCCTTTTCCATCCTCAAATCCAAACAAAACCGTAAAGTTAAAATATCTATATGGAAATTAGATTTCAAATATACGTCGTCCGATTTTATCCAACGGATTTGATTCTTTGACTCCATAATTGCGTTAACAAACCGACGCAGGGAATCCGATTTCGGCATTGCATACACGTGTAAATGCACGATCTATGAGGATGTGGCTGTAGATGTGAGTTTGAGTTCGATGTAATGTCCAACAACAGCAAGAAGCGCCGCCATGTTCCGCCACCAGCACCCGACACCGTTTTCCGCATCTTGTGTCCGGCCGCGATGACGGCGGACGTAGCGGCTCTCGCCGGCGACGGAGCCAAGATTCTGGTGGAGGACTTCTCCGGCGCGGAGGAGCGCGTCGTTGTCATCGTGGCGGCAGCGGGCGCCGCTGCTACATTCGAGGAGTCTCCGGCGCAGGTTGCGCTGATTAGGGTTTTGGAGAAAATGGTGGATGAGGAAACTAAGAGTTGCAGCAATTCGTCGGTGTCGTGTAAATTGCTGGCCCCAACGTATCAGGTTGGATGCGTGCTCGGGCGAGGAGGAAAAATCGTCGAGAAAATCAGGCAAGAGAGTGGGGCCCACATTAGGGTTTTGCCCAAAGATCAACCTCCTCTTCCTCCTCCTGGAGACGAATTCATTCAGGTCTTCAATAAAACAAAACAAAGAAAAAATAAATTTTTGTACTTTTCTTTTATAGAACCTCTATTCATTTATTTTTTTCGTATGTACATTTGCTTGTTGGGATAAATTTTTCTAGAAAGTATTTCTGAGAAAAAAAAATAGGAAGAAAAATTGGCATAAACTTGGGGATGTGAATAGGGATAAGTTACTACAAATTATGAGATAAGTTAATTTTAGCGAATTTTATTTCACTTTTTCTTCATAATTTTATCTCAAGTGTTTTCTGGAGAAGTTTATCTAATCAAGCCCTAAGATGATTTTAGCATATAGATTATACAGAAGCTTAATATGGAGACATTTCTTCTAGTTATGGTGCAATAATGTTGACTTGAGGCTTGTGGTGCATGCAGATAACAGGAAACTTTACTGCAGTAAAGAAAGCGCTGCTATCTGTGTCAAGTTGTCTTCAGGATAATGTGATCAATTCTGGTGCTTTTAAACCTTGTGGAGCAGCACCTGCTCAAGGGGATGCTTATCCTCAACGAGGTTACGCTCCGTCTGGTCCATATGCTCCTCCTGATCATCATTCCAGGGGTTATTCTTTTCCGGGTCCTGAAAGTGGTGGACCTGCTCATAGGATGTTTATGGAAGAGGATGTTGTCTTCAAGCTGTTGTGTCACCATGATAAAGTTGGTAGTCTTATTGGCAAAGGTGGTTCTGTGGTGCGGGCTCTGCAGAACGAAACTGGTGCTTCTATCCAAATTGTTGAGGCTGGACCGGATTCAGACGAGCGGGTGGTTGTCATATCTGCACGAGAGGCACGGAAACTACTTAATTATCTTTTATGCATAATGCTGTACCTGTGTAGGATAGTTTTTTATGTGAAGTTGCCAATAACCTTGCAGTATTTTGTGTGTAAAATTTCTTCTATGACTTTGCTGTGGTGGGAGTAAATTATGCCAACTCTTCGATATTTTATGTCTAGGAAAGATTCTCTTTTGTAACTTTGGATGTTTGTTCAGATTATTGTGAGCTGGCTCTCTGGTGTCAACTGTCAAGTTATTCTGGGGATCTTTGTTAGACATCTAAAATATGATTGTTCTTTTGTTATAATCAAACAGGTAACCTTTGTGTGATTTTTGTGGCTGGGGTTCATCTTCAGATTGTTTACTCTGTGAGTTGCTGTTGAGTTGTTCTAATCATGGTAACTTCTCTGTATTGGTAGTTTTCTTTGCAAACATGTTTGCAGCTTATGGGAGTGTTGGAGTAGAAGATTATAAAATCTGATACAATTTCCATGATATCTGTCTAGGAAACAAACTAAATTTGACATAACCTTGTGCAGAATTCAGAGCAAAAGCATTCTCCTGCACAGGAAGCTGTCATCCGTGTTCATTGTCGACTTACTGAGATTGGATTTGAACCAAGTGCTGCAGTAGTTGCTAAGCTTCTTGTGCGTTCACCACAGGTGGGCTGCCTCTTGGGCAAGGGAGGTCTTGTTATATCTGAAATGCGAAGGGCCACAGGAGCTAGCATTCGCATTTTTTCAAAGGAGCAAATTAAATACATTTCCCAAAATGAAGAAGTTGTACAGGTAACTGGTGCTTTAGGTATTTGCTTGTGGATTATATGCATGTTTGGTGCAATGTACAAATCAAATATAATGTTGTAATGACTAATGAGGACTAGGATGTGGTGATAATTTTTTTTACGTTGCAGCTGTGGTAGTTAAAATCTAGATTCAAATAGTAAGAACCCATGATTTTATAGTTTTAATCCCCTCCAGAAATACAACTCCATTCTCTTGTTTGTTGAATTTTTTTGTTGGATATCTTGTATTTCTGTGTATATCAATTATCATTTGAAACTTCAAATCCGTCATTTATGATTCCATGTAGGATCTAGGATTTTGTTTACTCGCATAGTTTAGCTACTAAAGGGAAAATAATGACTTAGTTCTTGTTTACCTATAATCCTGCGGTAAATTTCCCTAAATGTCAATTGATGTTTTGGTTTTTAATGGTCTACTGTTCAATGAGTTGGACTTAATAAATAAAATTGTGTTCTATCTCAGGTTATTGGGAGCTTACAGTCTGTACAAGATGCGTTGTTTCACATAACCGGAAGAATTCGGGAAACCATTTTCCCTGTAAGGACCCCTCCTCCAAATTTTAGTGCACCACCACCACATCTACCGCCGTTTCCAGAAATGCCACCTCCTTTATTTAGGCCAAGAAATCACTTGATGTCCTCTGGCCACCCTCCTCCAGTTGGGCTCCCTCACGGAATTGACCATTCAACTGTTCCCCCGATGCCTGTTGATCATCAGCAGCATGCATTTGTACATGGTATGGGACGTGGTCCACCAAACATGGATCGAGTTCCCTATCCTCGTGGTTATGAAGGACCAAATTCTCCAAGATCATGGAATCCTCTGGTGAGTTTGACTTTCAGATACAGGTTTTAATGCCTCGGGATCTTCATATATATATATGGTCCTAACATTTTCTATTATCAGTTTTTGGGTGAGGGAAGGGTGTTAAGAATGATGTCATAACGCTTTAGGTTTTTTGTATTTCAGGCTGTTAACAGAGGAAATCCAGGAGTAACAGCTGATACTTCTAGTTTGGCCTCAAGAAATGAGAATCCTGGAAAGTAAGTTTAGGATTTTTTTTTTTTTTTGAAGTAACAGCATATGTTATATAACTTGATAGGTGAATCCAACATTGCTAAATTGGGTGTTGTATCAAATATCTTATAGTGGTATTTGTCATTTCCAGGAATGGAAACCCATTACAGAATCCGAATAACTTAACAATTGAGATCACCATCCCTCATATGTACTTAATCCACGTGTACGGGGAGAACAATAGCAACCTAACTCAGATTCGACAGGTTTGTTTTATATCTGATTAGTAAGAGTTTGTTTGGATATAAATTATTAGTGTTTTTGAAAGTTTTTCTGTTAAAAAATTCTTTATTTTTAGTAGAAAAATTCTTGTAAATGTTTATCTAAAGTGACTCGAATTTATTACTTAATGTATGCTAAACATTTTTTAGTTGCTTTTTGACCCTTGGGTTTTACACAGACGTCTGGTGCAAACGTGGCGGTTCACGATCCAAAACCTGGAGCCACTGAGGGTCTGGTGATTGTATCTGGAGCACCAGATCAAACTCACGCTGCCCAATGCCTAATCCAAGCTTTCATTTTCTGTGGGCAAACCGTTGCTTGAGATTACAGAAACAAGAGGCAATCTAAAAACGGTTTTAGAGCGTATACACAGCAAATCTTGTAATACATATTCCATTGTTATGGATTAAGGATTTTTATATCAAGGTTGTCGCAACATTTTGTGAATTGCATGTTAAATTAGTGTACTTTTATTTGTTCTTTCCACCGCTGAGTTACTGTCCCTACCTTTTTGTTTTTTATTCTAATCATTCTAGTAGCAAGTCATTTTCCCAACACAATAAAAACCTTTTATTCTTCTGTATAATTCATCCAAAATTCCTCAACGAAGAACTTATAAAAGGTGAAATGAAAATCACTCAATTTACCACATAAAGGGGCCAATTTTTTTAGAATACAACTGCACTGCTCAAACATAATACAACATAGGAAGTGCATTGAAGCTGTTCAGCATACCCAGAATAAATAAAAACCTCCAAAAAGAACTAGCTTTCACAGGGCAATAATGACTTTCTGCATATATTTAAAACAAGATACAGAATGCTCATTTAACTATTTTCACTAAAAATGCAGTGGAATTCCTCTTACAATTTCTTGTCTAGGGGCAACCACTCTCCAATCACCCTTATTTCATGTAATCGCTTTCCATTCTGACCAAAATAGAGTTTATCATGATGAATCATCAGCTTCGCCGGCAACTCTATCGACTATCTGGTTGGCCTCTAAACTTTTATTCTGTAAAATATTCAATGAAAGAAAAAAATTAAGGACATGACGAAAATTCAAGTTTCTAAGTTGGCAAGAAATGCATCATAAAATGTAATGGTTTCCGACCTCATTCTTGATTAATGAGGAATTATGTCCAGATAAGGGTGCCGTCCTTGATAGGTCCCTCAGGGTTCCCTGTGTTTCAGAAAATGAGAACATACATATCAACAAACCAAATCAAAAGAAGGCATGAAATTTTTGCGGAAACGTATATCGTGTCTTGAAGTAAAATAAAGGGAGCGGGTGCAAACATACATAGTTCATAGTTGTATAAGAAACCTCCTGAATGTAAATTGATGTGAAAGATGGAAAAAGCTTTCCCATCTCCAGATAGTAAGTCGGTCAGATATTTAAGAGAAAGTAACTGATTTTGCTATAATTTCTCTTTAACTGCATTTTAGTGAGATACCACTAAAGAAAACCATTACAATTATTTTTTTATATTTTCATTAAAACCCGATAAAGACTAGTAAGTGGACTGGTAAATCATGGTCTATACACCCACACCACACGGGTGTATAAAATCTGTTATCTATTATCTATGCTGGGTCTCTCTCCAGTTAACTCAAAAGGATTGTCAAACCATTCATTACAAAGTTTGCATGTATTATTTTATTTTTCTTCTCAGATTTATTACATTTAAGCTGAGTTACATTCACTGAATGGCGTTACCTAAACTCATGTGGTTAAATACACATGGCGTAAGACAATGGGCTAAAGACAATAAAACTTCGTTAACATTTTATTTGGATCCAATTGCAATGTACAAGACTTGAGTCTCACATTTTCGTATGGGATTTAGTGTGGGCCTGTAGGGCTTATTAGGCCTTGGGCTCTTTCAACTACAATGATTGGCTTTTGTGGTGTTTTCCCAAAGTTCTAATTTATTGGTATCAAAACTTTCAACCATTTCTCTCAGCTGTAAACGAGCAGCACAGGTGATGATGTCGGCATTGCAGTATTTGCCTAGGACTAATCAAAGGGATAATGAACAGTCAGACCATATGGGCACCGAGGTTGCGAAGTGTAGTGAGATGTCAGGATCCAATTGCGTTATGGGACTTCAGTCCCACATTGGAAGGGTGTCATTGTAGTGAGGCTTATCACATTCTTGGACTCTCCAATTATAACAACTAGCTTTTGCATGGCTCTCCTAAGGTTCTTATCACATTCCTTTAAACAAAACTGCAATCCCCTCAATTCAGTATGACAATTTACTTGTGGTTATTTATTTAATAAATAGATGAAATACACGTATAGAATAACAACACATCTCACAGCATCTTGTGCCCAGCTGGTATGCACATACCATAATAACAACATATTAGTCAATAGGTATGTTTCAATAATCAACAAATTAATGACACTGCATTAGTATATGCACATACCATAATAATTAAATATTAAGATGTCAATAATAAATTGGAAGGAAATGAACCACTGCAAAATGTACCTTTCGAGATGTTCAGACATTAATATTTATTTATAGAGCAACATAGAACGAGGAATAAACATAATTCTCATTTACCTTATTTGCCCACATAAGACCACAAGCATTGCAGAGGGTTCTTGGCCCTTCAGGCCCACGTCGCATCATTGGTGTGCACTTCTCACTGATGCCACAGTGCCTACAACTGACATAAATTGCCAAAAAACACCATTTGTAAAACGATATACAAAACAGAAGAATCTCCCTCTTGTCCTAGAATGAACCAGTCAACTTACACAATATCTTGTTGCTGGGATCCATTATTGTCTGCTGTCCAGTTTTCATTTGTCCCCCAATTTGTCCCAGTTGGTGCAGATTCATCATGATTGGACTTGGAAGATGTAAACTGACCTTTATTTCTTTGCATCCTATAGAAGTTACTTCTATTTGTTAGCAGGTGGTGCAAATATATCAAGGTAACATTGCAGTCAGGATGTGGTTTTAGAAATATATGTACATGATAAAGAAAGCAAACATCAGCATATAAACTAGCCAGATATCATACATTCACTACACCATACACCACTTTAAGAAAGCTAGAGCTATATGAATATATGATGATAGATAACACATTTCAAACAGAGGCAACATGGAACTCCATTGGATTGTCGGTCAATCAAATCCCCAATTTATTGCTGATTTACACCTTAGCAATGTCATTGAGACTCACTATCAGTCATGCTTTTATGGTTTTCTCAAAGAAATAATCACTGAAACAACCTAAGCAATGTAATTGAAAACAACCCAACATACCAACTACAATAGATTGTGGATTTTGAAAGAATATAGACATGATATCCCAAAAGCTACAATGAGGTGATACATGATAATAAGGAGGCTTCAGCTAACATATTTAGTTATTGCAGACCCTTCAAGGAACTCACTACTATCCTCTGTTTAGCCCCCTTTTACTGTTATCAATAACACAGCATTACAAACATAAATGGAGTACAGTAAAGTCATAATTTTAACACAAGCAAGTATTCCTTGTAAGATTAATCTAAAAAATAATGATAAGAAGCACCATACCTTAATGCTACTTCTTTACGAACAGTGTACCGGATTTTTTTGTCAAAATTTCGTTCCTTCCGCTTTTCACGAAACCTAATCAATGAAGCTAATCTCTGAGGGACACTGAATTTTTGTGGAGTACCAGTAAATCCCTAATAAAATACTTCATGAGCCATATATTTGACTAGAAAAAGAGCATCAATCACATTCCAACCAAATAATGTAGTAATACCCGGTTATTATTGTGAGGAGATACTGGGATGGAAGGCATAGTCGGAGGTATTTCGCGGCCTCCCAGTAACAGTAGTACAGCTTGAACCTGAGAAAGACATCCTAGGATTATCAAAAATTATTTTCTTAAGTGAATCAATGTTGGCAGTAGAACTTGGTTAATCATAGATCAAATTATTTAATATCATAGCTAAAAGCCATCTTTACAATTATATTATAAAACATACCAAAAAGCTTGTTAAACTGATTATTGTGATAATATATTCCACATGAAAAGCATCAGTCTATGCCTATGCAAATGCCAGAGGGGGAGTTAGAAGAAAATAACTAGTCAACATTTCTTGATTGATACAACTTGTCAACAAGAATGACAAACAAAAACAACAATAAAGCCTTATTCCAATAGGTGAGGTTGGCTACAACCTACAAGGATAAGGTACACTCAATGTTTTATTGTGAATTGTATTAAAAGACAAGCCTTTGACCTCTAAATCTTTCTGGATGGTTTTGTCTATGATTTTTCTCAGTCTCCCTATACTTCTAGCAAAGCAATAATGAAACCCTCTATATGATCTACACTTCTTACTAAGGCTTCTATAAGTCTTCACACAGGTCCAAACCACCTAAGACAGATTCTATCATTTTGATCTACAATAGGGTGCTACCCCAACTTTCCTTTTAATGCATTCATGTTCATGTCTAGTATGTCAACTCATCCGGCACAACATTCTTTACTCTGGTGCATGGTGTTAATTTTTTTATTGGGTTTTCACTGTCCAACACTCAGTTCCATACAACATTGCCGGTCTTATAGCTGTGCAATAAAATTTCCCCCTAAGCTTGAGTGACACCTTTCGCCATAGATCAACAAAAAATGACAAATACTCCCAGAGAAGAAGAAAGAAGAGAAAGAAAAACCAAACATGCATGAAAGATATATTCATATGAATACAAACAGAAAAATTCTTTGCATTGTCCATAGCTTCCCTCATCCAACTCCTTAAAGCAGCAATATTTGCCAAAGCATACATGTAAGAACCGAGAATGGACACTAACTGTACTACTAGACCATAGTTTCATCAATGCATATTCTATTATTTATAACTCAAGCAACCTCAAGCGCAGAGCAGATACTCCCATACATAACAATCTAGGAATCATTAAATTAAATATACTTGGAAGTAATCACTGGAAATCAATATCTACAACAAAAGCAGTCACGCATACTAGGTAAGACATGAGGGGCAATGTCATGTCAATGCAAAAGTAAAAACTCAGATAAGATGCTGCACCTTTTCTGGTGACACGGAGTCAAAGACATAAACCTGGCCCTGAAAAGACAACGTAAGCTGATCCCCACCATCACCCCCTTGATCCATCATTACAGTGTGATTGTCATGGAGATTTCCATGGTTGGAGGGGACTTCACCTTCCACACTCTCACTTCCACCACAATTAGTATCAGCTCCATCATTCTGATCATCATCAATGCCATTCCCATTGCTCATATGGTGCAGTCCATGATGCTCATGTTCTTGCACATATGGCACATGTATAGGATGCTGTCCATCACTCATTTGCATCCGAGAATCACCCCCATGAATACCATCCATGGTGCAGGAAGAGCCAAAACACCTTGGGAAATAGCAGAAAGATGATTAAAGGCAGACAAAGAAAATTAATAGTAAAAACAACAACAACCACATAGTAAAAATAACATAATTATAAATAAATAAATAAATAAAAGTTATCAACCCAGAACTATGGTGAGCTAGAATTTCTTCTAGCAAACCAAACTACACATAAAATCAGGAAAGTGCAATGCCATAACTAGCAAAGTATGATAGTGAAGGTTGGTGCGTAACATTTAATTCTAACTAAAGTACATTCCAAGGAAATGAAATGCAATAACAAGCAGAAACAAGAGCAAAATAAAAAATGTCAAAACTATCCTATCCCAGCAGCATGGAAAGCCTCCCCTTGCAACAAATAAGACAAAAAAAGGATTGGAAACAACACCAAAAGCAGAGGCACTTAAAACATTTGAGTGAAATCATAGTCTTTTAAGAATCCCTGAGATAAAGGAATAGTTTTGATTTTGCATCAGAGAGAAAGAATATTCAGAAAAAACAAAACACCCGTCCAAGAGTAGAGGATGGAAATGAAGAGAGAGAAGATTTTGTTGTAAAATATTAAATGCGAAGAAAGAAAGCAAGAAAGAAAGAAATAAAGCATTTTTGGGGAGAAGGAGCAGACCAAGAATTGGAGGTTGTGGGTTGATCTGCAGAAGCACCGTCGCAAGAGAAAAGGGTTGGGATAAGGTGACGATAACTGAAGAAGTGAAGAAGAAGAGGATGAAAAAAATGCAGAGAGAGAGAGAGTAACGGGCAAAATGTAACGCCAGAGAGAGAGAGAGAGAGAGAGAGAGAGAGTTAAAATGGGTCGGTAACGAAAGGCGATGAGGGAATGAGATCAGGGTCAGGTCAGGGAGACATGAGACAGTGCCTTGTTCCAATTCCAAGTCAATATTTTTTTCACAAATCCAAAAAATATTTCATCATTGCGTGCAATGTCACCACATGTTTTTTTTTTTTTTCACCGTCACATTTACTAACTAAAAATAGTTTTTTATTCGAATTAAAGTGATTAATTATTTATGTTTTTTTATAAATTTTTTTAGCCAAAGTAATTAAAAAATAATTTTAAAAAAATTAAATAACTAATTATGATTTTTTTTTTGTCGATATGTACACCAATGTCTCGCAATCGCAACACACCACTATGAATGATGTCACCAGTAAAACAAGAAAAACAAAGAAGATATTAGCAAGTGTGACATTTTTTTTATTATTAGTACGAGATATTTATTAATTTTATAAATGATTAATACATGTCAAATAATCTAATTTATTATTTTTTTTAGTGAACTCTTCTCTTTTAATTTTTTTTATTGACAAAATTCAAACATAAGATTTTGTTTAAAATGAAAAGTTTAATACTACTCAAACGATTTATTTATAATAAATAAAAAATTATTTTATTGTTTTATAATAAATGTATATTTTAAAAAATAAGTCTCAAAATAAGTATAATATTAATTTTTTAATATAATATTATTTATTTATTTATTTATATCATTTATAATATTTTTTAGAAAGTGATTATTGTGCTGCATCATTCCTAGTAAAGAAAATTAGTCATGAGATTAATTTTGTAAGATTATTAACCTCTTTTATCTATTCATTAGTTTTTCTTAAAGCATCTCTAATGGTGTATCTAATAAGATACACATGTTGGTATCTTATCTTATTTTAAGTGGGTTCTACAATGTCACTTAATACTTAAGCAATTTTTAAGCAATCTGTATACATTTTACTCATGTTTCTTATAAGCAACTCTTGAACAACTTTTATAATGATATGTTATAAACATTATATTATGTGAAATCACTATTAGTAACAAAAAATAATCTATTAAAATTATAAAAGTTTAACTAATGGATATATGGACATACACATGATATGGATATAAAATGCAACTATTGTACCAATATTACTCATATACATGTATATACACTAATCCCCAAGTAAATTATATAACTTAATGTTGATCGAGCACATTTGTACAAGTTACACCAAAGGTAACACCAACACCCAACAAAAAGGGGTCCACCAACTCACCACCATTGATCCTCCAACCAAGCTTTGAACTACTCTTACACAACGTATAATCATCGCAATTCAAATCACATGAAAACAAAAAGGTAAGTCAAAGTTCGAAAATATGTAATTATAGAAAATATTTCTATATCATACAACGATACCAAAAACATATATGAAAGTTAAACACTCTAAAGCTAGCATATATCTCATCCAAACCACATTAACAAAGACATCCAATAATGCATATGAACACATCACAACATGCATTATATGCATACACCCTAAACAATGTGTCGTCACACATTCATTTATGAAGATCTCTTAACAACTGAGTAGTTTAAGTGACTCGATTCTACCAAATCAACCAAATCATCTCTAGATTAGATAAATCCATCAACATGATCATCCCTATAATAGATAGACCCATCAACTAGATTGAATCACCAATCCCAATAACTTAATTTCTCGAATTTTGTCACTTATACCGGAATAGTCCAATTCCACCGTTAGGAGTGGTACAAAGTAGGTATATGTGCACCATGACCTTAGCATGCATTATCAAGTCACATGTGAAGTTAGCTCACTAGCTATTCTCAAGGAACCATGCAACATTTCAAAGTATTTGGTTAAGGGTTGTAACCCTCAATCTCTTACTTTATTCAGTCACTAACTAAAGACCTAGAAGAGACATCAATGCACCTCAAAATCCACTCCAAGAGACACACTCAAGGAGGATTTTCCAATAATGGCCTACTCAGGCACCATCCCAAGATTCCTTATGTGGGATCTTTAGTTTTCAAAAACCATTTCCTTTTCTCAAGTCCTAAGTTAGTCAACATGCCTTAATGTCATATCACATTCTCAACATCCACACCTTATGCATACATCATCCATACATA